TGAATGTTATATTGCGTACAGCCACCTTGCCATTCGGGTACACCTTGCGGAGATTAAGAACAGTCGCCACGCCCTCATCCACACCCTCCTCCGCAGCCTCGTACACAGCGATCTGCTCATCCTCAACATCAGAGTCACACGCCACATTCCCATCTTCGAACACCACGTTACGATGATAAGAAGACCGCCTCCACCACGTTCGTCGCGTTGGATGATCAATGAAGAGCACCAGCATCACAAAGATGGGAAACTCAGCCGCGAGAAACAGAATAGGGTAGCCCGTCACATCGCCGCTGAATGCGGAGTCCGAAGCCCCCAGGGCCTTGCTCTCCCTAAAGTGTCCGAGGTTGATGATCCCCTCTCCAATGCAGTAAGTCGGTATGAGACGAAAGGGCCAGCGGAGATCATTGGAAACATCGCTCGTTTTCTCAAGAAGTGACAATATGAACACCACCATCACCAGCAAGAACCCAGTCACGAAGCCCAGCGCCATCACAACCGTCTGCGCTGTTGAGTGCTCGTTGAAGAGGAAGCTGATCATGTATCCGGCGGCAGTGCTTGTCAGGCCGTAAACCAGCAGAAGGGTAAAAAAGGGACCAAACGTGTCACTCCCCACGTACTCCTGGCGTCTAAATATCACAAAGAGTATGACCACAAGAAGAATTGACGTGATGTATGCTACGATGTCAAAGAGAAAGTTCGTGCCCCAGTAGATGTAGAAGCGCAGCCCGGCGATCCTCTGCAGGTGGAGAGAGCCGCACTCCCGCTCCTTCACCACCCACGCAACAGGGTTGGACGGCAAGAAGGTGAATGGTATCATGATGATTGCACCCATCATGATGAGCCGGAGGGCATTAGAAGAATCAGATGCACCCTGGAGAATACCCACAGACCAAGACACGTTAGCCGAGTCACCTGCCACCCCCTGCAGCAGCAGTTGATAAAACGCCGCCAACGTGACACCGACCTGGTGCAGAGCAGAGGTGTTGTGCAGCATGACGACAGGGTTCATCATTCCAGACTCTCGATAAAGGTCACGGTCAATGCACGAAACAGCGGCGTACCGCGGCATGGTATGCGTGAACCACGTATCGACACCGTAGTTACCGAGGTCCTCTGCGTTCCTCAGATGGGTCTCGTTAATAACCACGTTGGGCATTTGAGGATTCGCGCCCCAAACCTCATCACAGTGCGCTGTGTCCACCAAGGTCACGTCCTTGTAAATGTCGAACGACAGCGGGAGCAACGGGTCCGTCGAAACCCTTACGAGACCGAGCAACATCGCCACCAGCACACACACTACTGGGCAAACAACTTGGAAGCACTGCATTCGGCGGTCTCGCACAGCGTTGTTCCACCGCTTTATCATCGTTGCCTTAAACTGCGACATCGCCATTGAGTCGGTTCTTACACAGTCCCACAGAAACGCAAAATCATCATCAAAGTACGGTATTTCGTTCGTGCCCCCCGACACGCGAAGAAACACCTCCTCAAGAGTCGTGGCAGAGAGGGAGTACCCCCGCACCCCCGCACCGCTGCTTGCCTCGATGTTGTCAAGCAAGTATGGAAAGCTCAGAGCCTCAGCAAGCGGAAGGCGGAACGACACCTCACCTCCAGTGCGGCTCAGGAGTTCCGCACCAGGAACACTTGAGCACACCAGTTCATCGATCAGTTCAAAGTCACCTGTAGGACGCATCGATATCGCAAGGTTGTAACCCAGTCCCAGCCGCGACTTCAGGAAGAAGCTGCTGCCAGAGCACTGCAGGCGGCCCTCGCTCATGATACCGATACGATGGCCCAGCAGGTCCGCCTCGTCCATGTAGTGTGTCGTCAGCAAGATCGTGTGCGAGAACGACATGCGCTTCAGCAGCTCCCACGTGTGGCGACGGGCACCAACGTCCATGCCGGCGGTCGGNCCATCCACCATGATCGCAACGCGATGCGCCAGCGCCTCCACCTCCTCCAGGTGGTGCGTCGTCAGCACAACAGAACAGTTGTCGGCCACCGCCTTTATTGCGTTCCACAGCCCGCGGCGCGCAACAGGGTCCATGCCGGCGGTCGGTTCGTCGAGGAACACAAGGCGGCTCTCGCCCACGAACGCAATACCAACGGACAGCTTCCGCTTCTGCCCACCGGAAAGGAACCGCGACAGGGAGTGTTCCTTGTCTTTAAGACCCACAGCCTCCAACATCTGCTCGACTGCCACATCTTGTTCATCCCTCGTCAGGCCCTTGATCGACGCGTAGTAGCACAGGTGCTCGCGGCACGTCAGCTCGGGCCACAGGATATTGTGTTGCGGGCAGAACCCAATCTGCTGCCGCACCTGTGACAGCTGGTGCCGCACCGACAACCCATACACGTAGCAGTCGCCACCGTCAGGCTCCACCATCCCCGTCATCATGTTCATCGTCGTCGACTTCCCGGCACCGTTGTGGCCAAGCAGCACAGAGATCTCCCCCTCACGCATGCTCCAGTACAGGTTGTCCACAGCGACAAATTTGGTGCCGCTCCGCCGATACACCTTGCGAAGCCCCGACAGCACCACAGCCGTCACACCTCCAGCGTCGTCGTCCAACTCCTCAAAGACGCCGTCCGTCGCCCGTCCGTCGGGGCCACCCTCATGCACCGAATGGCCGCCAAAGCACCAGTGAAAAGGGTCGATGATAAAAAAGAGCGGATGCTTCGGCGTGCCCCAGTCCTTCGGCAGCACCGCGTCAAAGTACAGCATGAGAACGATGTACAGGAAAAAATCCAGAGTCAGCATCTCCAGCAGGAGAGCAGTGTTAGGATTGTGAGCCTTGCTCGTGAAATCACCGGCACTAAAGCCACGAGTAGCCTCAGCCGCCAAAACGTTTTGAAGCACGGAAACAAACGCTGAGGGAGACAAAAGCGCCAGCACAATCGTGACAGTGCTGTTCGACTTCGGCATTGCGAGGTTGGGGATCGCCAGTATGAAGTAGATGATCGGGGCAAGAAGCGACGCCAGGCGGGCTTTGCCAAAGAAAGACGATATGAGTCCTGCAAGCGGAACAGTCGTCAGTGCAAAGACGAAGAAGACAAGAAAGACGACGAACACGTTGCTTTGCGTCACATATGTGCACTTCAGCAGAACGCTTATAAGAACGCACACGACAAAGTCAACGGCGATCGGTCTCACAAACCACGACACGTACAGCACACTGCTCCTCACACCCATTATAAGCATCGCCTCGCGGAGGCGAAGTTCCTTCTCAAGCACAATCATCTTCGTTCTGTAGGACACAGTGTACAGGAATGCGAGAGCAAATATCAGTGGCAGAATCTGGCGGGCATATATTAGGAGGGGTGTCTGATGGTAGTCCACAAAGGCTTGTGACGCAATGTAGTGCGTGGTGTTGATAGCAGCGGAGGGATAGTAGCTGTTGAAGTGGTACTCCGAAATCAGTTTCTGCAGGGTTAGATACCCAGAGACGGCGTACATCTCCGCTCTGTCAAATTGAAAGCCACCCGGGTACGCATCCGCGACAACCTCGTCGAGGTTTGGCAGCGCGTTGGCACTGAGGTATATTCTGGCGTCAAGAATGGTGGGATCGAACCGCACCACATGCACAATGCCCCAAGTCTTGGAACTTTCCCGAGCCGCCTCCTCTGCCTCCTCCAGCGTGGCAAAAACACTACCTTCGACATCGGCGAAGTACACGGAATCCTTCTTGAAATGATTTATGATGCCGTTGATGGTTCCAGGGTCACCGACAAAGTGCAGCAGGCCCGAGCATTGAATGGCGGACTCACGCGTGTTGGGAACTATGCCAGAAATCGATGGTCCTCCCTTGTTGAGCTTGCGCGCCAGCCACTGGAACATAATAAGGGAATCAAGTGTTGGAATAATGACGAGGAAGCCAGTGAAGGAATTCAGAAAACCCTGCACCAGGGCTGGTAAACCAATAACTTCATAAACACAGATGCCTTTATACGGCAACGTACTCTCGTCTCCAGAGCAGTCCACGGTTTCCATGGATTCACAAGTCTTCAGCCCAGGCACCCCGCCTTCCGCCTTGGAGCACACGTACGTCTTGTACAGCGCCGGGTCAAGCCACGCGGAGAGGTCGGAATAGTCCACAAAGTTTCTCTCGGAGTAAAAGTCAGTGCCCCACAAAGACCACAGAATCAAGGTGACGATGACGAAGATAAGCGGGACCAACAACTCCAAAAGAAGTTCACCCTTCCGCCGCATACTCTGGCGAAACACTCGCTCAACGAGCGCCAGAAACTGATCCTTGAACGACGCCTCCAGCACAGCGTACGTAGAGAACGCGGTAGAAGTCTCAGTCCATTGCTCCTCCGGCATAAAGTCTAGCTCACGCCACTCAATCGCGCCACTACCCCACTTCGGTCCGCCTTCTACCGAGTTTTCCATCTCGTACCCATCATCATCGAAAGTTTCGGGAGACTCTTCGTCCCATGCCGCATCCAACGCATCCTCCTCCTCTTCAAAGTCTTCTTCATCTACCAAGGCGCTCCCGAGTTCACCTGACTGTTCCACCCAGTAATCATCATCTACAAAGGACATGTGGAAACGAGAGTTATCCGCGGTTACCGTCTGCGCGACCCACAAAGCTGTTAGAGTCCTGCTACACACAGCTGCTGCCAAAGAATAAAATCTACTCGTTACCTAACACCCCCAAAAAAAAACCAGATACGAATATAGAGACAAATGGAAAAAAATACGGCAGCTGAAGCAGTTGTCTACAACCAAACATTATACATTTGCTATTCAGATCGAGACCCAACACATAGACTTACAACACAACCCGTTTACAAACGAAATAGGAGCCAATGCACAAAAAAGGGAGGCGCTGAAATATTCATCTAACCTGCCCAACGTCCGGGACACAGGGTTGGTGTGAGTAGGTGCTCAATCTTCTCACTTTGCGCCAGCTCCCGCACGCATACGACACAAAAATCTCCATATCAAAAGAAAAACTAGGTCATGCATTTCAGCAGCCAGCAAAAAAAAAGCAATTAAAAAAACCACGCAAGTCGCCGCTCACAGAGCAAAGGGCTTGTTTAAGCAACGGCACTCTTCGGAGCGCACACCCACACACAGAAGC